CAAATCTATTCTATTTTCCCCTTTCCTTTGGGGTTGTCGCAGTGACAGAGCTCACATCCACACTTGGTTGTGGTTCTCCATGGGTTACACATCTGGATATGATGTTCCATACTCTCTGGGCATCACACTCTTCAGTTGTGCTTAAAGTGCTTGCTGGAGGGTCATTGCAGGGCTCACACACGTGCATTCCTGGTCATGGTCTCAGGCAGCAGAAATAGACTCAGGTACAGCACCAGGGTCCCAAGCAGCATTGCTGCATGGCCTGCAGCCTGGCACATGTGGAAAGAACCTGGCTGAAAAGTTTGGCCTCACCCTTGCAAGGCATATTGTTTTTTGCTACTGAGCCAACTCTCACAGGCCTACCTATTTTTTTTTTTTTTTTTTGCTTTTGGGTCACACCCGGCAAGGCACAGGGGTTACTCCTGGCTCTGCACTCAGGAATTACTCCTGGCAGTGCTCAGGGGACCATATGGGATGCTGGGAATCGAACCCAGGTCAGCCGCGTGCAAGGCAAACGCCCTACCCACTGTGCTATCGCTCCAGCCCCAGGCCTGTATTTTTGAACTTGCTATACTTGCTATATTTTCTACATCTTGCCTGCTTTCTTTCTCTTTCTTTCTTTCTTTCTTTCTTTCTTTCTTTCTTTCTTTCTTTCTTTCTCTTTTCCTTCTCTCTTCTGTCTTTCCTTCCTTCTTTCCCTTCCTGCCACACCAGGCAGCGCTCAGGGTTTACTCCTGACTTTACACTCGGGGATCAGGCTGGCCTGGGGAACCATACGGGGTGCCAGGAATCGAACCTGGGTCAGCTGCTGCAAGACAAATACCCGCTGAACTATCTCTCCGATCCGTTTATTTCTCTTTCATTCTTTAATACCAGCAAAGCCTTTTGGCAAATGATTGACAGCAAGAAAGGTCCCGGGAACAGCTCTCTGGGTCTGTCAAACCTGGGCCAACCCCTCCCCACTAGACACACCAAGAACTGGGTAACTGGAGGCAGCCCAGCCCCCACACAAAGGGGGCAGAAGGAAGGTCCTTGGTTAGTCTCTTGTCTGCAGTGCCTTCGTGCTTGCGTGTGTGAGTGCGTGCATGCGTGCGTGCGTGTGTGTGTGTGTGTGTGTGTGCGTGCGTGCATGTGTGTGTTTTCTATAACAGATCAACACTTCACAAGGAGGGGCTTCTGCACACTGAGCCTCGCTGAGGACACAACCTCTCAGACCGGGGAGCGCAGAGGAGGCTGGAGCTTGGGTTAGGGGGGAGCCCCATCAGGGAAGGCGTCCTGGAGGAAACTTAGGGGGCTGGTTTAGAGAGAGCCGAGGCAGGCAGAAGGGAAGGCAGGGAACATGCCCAGGCAGTTGGGCGCTGGATGATTTAAGTACAACCAGATGTGCTGAGGACCTCCTGACAGGCCCAGCCCAGTAGGGCAGCGTCATCGGGGTGGGGTGGCCCCGGGGAGCACTAGATTCCCAGTTTACCATTGTGGGGGGGGGGTTGGGACAGTCCAGAGTAGGTGAGAAAATGGGATGGGGGTGGGGTCCCAGAGTGGGTGAGAATGAGCTGGGGGTGTCTGTCCAGGAAGGGCGGCTTCCTCCAGGAAGCAGAGTTCTGGGCGCTCTTCTGGGAATGGGGGCGGGGCTGGGGAAGGCTGAAGTGAGTTGGCCATGGGGGGGAGGGGCATGCCTCAGTTGGACGAGCCTACCGAAGTGTGGGGGCTCAATCACAGAGCACCCCCATGTGATGACAGTCCCGGGGGGCGGGCAGGGCCAGCCCTGAAGCTGTGTGCAGAATGGGAGCAGCTTCCCCTCAGTGCCCAGAGGGCAGAGCTCAGAGCTCAGATGGCACGTAGGAGAGACTTTTGGAAGGGGAGAGACACGGGGGTTCTGTTGGCAAAGTGTCCACCCCTTTGGAAGGCCAGCTCTGCCCCTCCTCCGCGGCCTCTGAGCGTCCACAAAGCGGGAAGATGCCCTGTTTTCTGATTCCCTTGGGGTCTGGCCCTGCCCTGCCCCGGGAAGGTAAGACCGTGGGCCACTGAGGCCAGAGCCAAGTGGCAGGCAGGGCGCGGCCCTGGAAACCCGGGCAGGAGAGCACGGGGCTTGGGGCTTTGGAGGGGAGCAGCCCGAGTTGGTGGGGGAGGACTGAGGGGCCGTGGGGAGTAGCTGCCAGCTCAGGATGTGCCCTCCAGCTTGGCAGGCACCCCAATCTCCTTCCTCTCCCCTTCAGAGGGCCACGGAGGCGTCTCTCCGCCCTTTCCTCTTCCTCTCTTCCGTCTCTCTCCCTCCCCCACCCCTGTCTTTCCCTGGGTTCTTTTCCTTCCTTCCTCCTTCCCCCACCTGCTCCTCCCTCCCTCTCTCTGGCCTCCACGTCTTCCTTCTTCTCTCTCCCTTCCAGACTCTGGAACGCTGACTGTCCGAGAGCCAGCTGAGTTTTTTTTTTTTTGATTTTTGTGGCCCACCCAGTGATGCTCGGGGCCTATCCCCAGCCCCGAGCTAGGTTGGTGGTGCTCCTGGTGGGGGTTGAGGGAACCGCATGGTGCTGAGGGGTGAACCTCCCGCACTCCAAGCAGGTCCTTCAACCCTCTGTCCCTTGGGTTATATATATATATATATATATATATATATATATATATTGGGTTTCCAGAATGATCTGTTGCTGGGTTCTGGACCTGGCGGGGTCACAGACACCCACTCTGCACATAGACACCTGCATCGTGCATGCGTGCACAGGGGGTGCTCAGCGGCACCCAGCACAGTGCTCCGTGTCCAGCAGTGGCCAGGGCCTGGGATTCTCCAGGCAAGGCCCGGGACAGAGGCGGGGACCAGAGCAGCCTCTCACCTTCCAAGCGAGCGCTATGTTATTATTATCCAATCCATTGCCGGGCACTTGACCTGCCCAGAAGCCATCACAAGCCCCGCCTGATCAGCCTGTCCTCAGCAGGGGGCTCTCAGGGCACAGACCCCTTGACAGGCAGGAGAGGGGTCAGCAGAGAGTCCTCGGAGAACAGATCCCCAGGGCCCGGCCAGGAGGGAGCGGCCGGCAGCCAGATGAAGGGCCATTTGCCAGGACGCAGCGTTTGTCAGCCCGGAGGCCGATGATGTATTAACAGGACTTTAATGAGCAGGGAGAGGGGCCGGTTTCAGCGCCTGAGCACTGGTGTGGGGTTGGGGTGGGGTGGGGGCGGGGGAGACCTGGCTCATCCCTGCGCGCCACTAACCGCCATAAGGTGATCCAGTTTGCACCTAGAAACGGTCAGAGCCTCCGACTTGCCCTCATGGAGGTCAGCAAAGGTCTGTCCAGCCAATGTGCTGGTCCCTCCTGCTCTCACTGGGAACATCTTCCCCCTTCCCCTAAAGCCAGCACCCCACCCCCCCAGCCAGGCTTCCAGGGAGTGGAAGAGAATAGCATCCCTACTCCAGGGAGCACGAGATCAGATTTTTCCTTCAGCCTAGTCCCCTCACACACCCCTCCTCTCCAGCCTGATCAAGTACAGCCCCCAACGTCAGCCGTCGCAACGCCCTGACAAGGCCACCCTTGGCCTCCTGCGGCTCCTGCCGCTGGCTGAGGTCACTCAGTGACAGTGGATGCCGGCCAGGGGCTCCCTGGCCGCCTGCTCCGCTGCTGGAGAGAGCCTGACAGGCGGGCCGTGGGTCGGCTTTGGGCCGTGGCCCCGACGGCATCTCCACTCAGATGCCCCATCAATAAAGACTTGATTTGAGGCCCTGGTTACTTTATCTTCCTTTGGCCTCCTCAGTCCAAGCCAGGGCCGCCTGGACACAGGCCTCCTCTGGGCCAGAGTGTGGCCCTGGGCAGGTGGGGGGTGGGGCAGAAAGGCCCTGACACTCTCAGCTCCCAGCCTGCGCCCCATATCCAGGGGTGGGTCAGAAGATCATGGGAGCCCGGCGGGTCTTCCCCATGGCCACCCGGGCTGAACTCCGGCCTCCATCGGGGAGCAAAGGTCTGAGCAGCCCCTGCAGACTGGGCCAGCGGATGCATGGGGCAACCTTGTCCCCGGGGCACTCAGAGAGGCCCCGTAGCTCCCTAGGGAGAAAGGCCCAAAACATAGTTGGTCCTTCTGGGATGTTCAGGGGAGCTGGCGGCCCTCCAGCTGGAGGGGGTCCTCTCCCATGGCTTTGGTCAGACTGCTCCCCACCGCCGGGGGCTGCGGAGGGTCTTCCTTTTGGGTGCCTGATGGAATTCTGTCCGCCTGGGAACCTCAAGGACACTCCGGATCCCCGAGGCCTAGCACGGGACCCGGCGCCGTGAGAACACCACCCTCGAGGGCAAGCCGCTCGCTCATCTGGTTAGACTTCACGCTCCACCCGCGCGGCCTGGCCCTGCCGGGCTGGCCCTCCTGCCCACACCAGCCGGGTCACTCGCAGTCCCAGGCCTGGCCCTGGCTGGCTCAGTGGAGCCTGGGGCCCGGTGGGTGCTCAGTTTACCCGGGGGCGCGGGTGGGCGGGGAGGGATGCAAGCGGGGGCCCGGCGAAGGCCGGCGGACCCGGGCGCGGGCATCCAGCAGGCCGGGCTGGCCGGGCGGCCGCGGTCCCCTCTGCCCTTCGGCCCGGGAAGCCGCTCCCGCCCAGCGGCCGGACCCGGCCGGCCGCTCCGTCCGTCCGTCCACCCCCGCCCCCACCCCCGGGACGCTCGGCCTCCGCCCCGCCCCGACTTCCCGCTCGGACGCCCGGGGAAGGGGGCGGGCGGGCCGCGCGGCGCAAGGCCAGTCCACGGCGAGGGTCATTTGCTCTTTTTCTCCCCCTCTGCGGCTAATTTATTTTCGAGCCCGGGAGGGCGAGGGGCGGGCCGGGCCGGGGGCGGGAGGAGGGGCCGGCCCGGGGGAGGTGGGGGCGGGGCGGGGCGGCGCGGGGTGGCCGGGGCCGGCCGAGGGGCGGGAGTGGACAGCGGGGCGGGGACGGGGGAGGCGCGTCGCGAGGGGAGGGAGGCCGGAGGGAGGGCGCGGGGCGGGGGCGGGGTGGGGGTCCTGCTGCCGGGGGAGCCGGGGCGGCCCCTTGTCCAGCCACCCCCACTGGCCAGTCCCGCTCCCGGCCGCGGCGGCCGCAACAGCCGCAGCAGCAGCAGCGGCGGCTCCAGCATGGTGAGCGCCGCTGCCCCCCAGCCCCGGCCAGCAGCCCCCGGCCCGCGCCCGGGCCCCGGGGCCGGACGCCCCCCCAGGCCGCGCACGCTCAGCTAGGACCCGGCGGGATGCCGAGGTACGCGGGCCGCGGCCGGGCGCGGGCCGGGGCCGGGGGCGGGGGCCGCGGGGTCGGGCGCGGGCAGCTTTGTCCGCTCGGGGCGCGGGGCGGCCGGGGGTCGCGGCGGGCGGGGGCCGCGGGGCCGGGGCCGGGGCCGGGGCGGCGGAGACCCGGGCGGCTGCGTGGGAGCCCAGGGTCACTGCCCGGGGGTCCGCCGCCCGCCCCGGCCCTCGGGCCGCCGCAGTGGCCAGCCGCGGGCTCTGGGGGGAGCCTGCGGGGTCGCGGGGGCGGGCGGCCGGCGCTGCGGGTTCGGGTCCCCCGAGGATCCAGTGTCCGGAGCCCGAGGGCCGGCCCGCTGGCCCCTCCCACTCCGTCAGGTCTTTGTCCGGCGGCCCCTGTGCGGGTGGGAGGGGTGGGGGTGGGGTGCCCGGCCCCGAGACGCCCGGCCTGGCCGCGGGACGGTGACAGCGCACCCGGGCCGCCTCGGGCCGGCGCCCCGGACGCCCACCCTCCTCCCGCCCCGTCGCCCGCCCCAGGGCCCCGAGCCCCCTCCGAGGGTCGGGGTGTCGCGGGAGGACGCGCTCACCTTCGCCCCCGCCCCCCGGAGCGCCCCTTCAACTTGCGCGCTCCTCGGGGCTTTCTCTCGAGCTCCGAGACCCCCGAGTGGGGGCACCGCTCGGCGGAGGCGCCGGGGCGGCGGGGAGGGCACCCAGTAGGTGGTCAGCCGAGGCCGATTTGGTGGCGGAGGCGGCCGGAGCGGCCCGGAGCGCGGGGGTCGGCGGACGGGTGGGTGGGCTGTTAAAGGGACAGTCACTAAATCAGGCGTAGGCCGGGGGGCTGTCAGGCTGCCTGGCCCCGTCTCCATGGAGACTGATTCGGGGTGGGGGGAATCGGGCACGCAAGAATGCCGGTGCCCTGGTCCGCACGGTCCCGGGCTGCTGGGCGCGCGCCTGCCCGGCCGGGGCGTCCGCGTCCAGCACGCTCGCGCCCCGACGGGGGGGAGGGGGCGCCTCTCGGTGGCCGCTGCCGGAGCCTCCCCGGAGTGTCCGGCGCGGCGCGAGAGCTCGGACTCCAGCCAGAAGCCCCCCGCGCCGCTCCAACTCGCGCTCCCTCCTCCCGAGTGGCGCGCCGCGGAGCCGGAGTCGGGAACAGGCGCGTCTCCCCGTCGGGCGCGCGGGACGCCCCGCGCCGGGGCCGGGGGTCGGGGGCGGGGCGGGGCCCCCTGGGGTGGGCGCGAAAGGGGCGGGGCCGCGGGCCGGCGGCGCCGGCGCGGGTGACAGGCCTCGTAAATCCCCCTGCCCGTATTTAACACCCTTGCGTTGATTTCCACTCGGTTCCCTCGGTGCGGCAGCCGCTGGCCCTGGGAGGAGTGACCTCGTGCCCTCCCTGCGCTCCCCGCCCAGGGGAGCCCTCGGGGCCGCAGGGGATTTGGGTCTGGGGGCAGCGGAGTGGCCCCCGGGCCAGGGAGCCCTCGTTCCTCCGGGGGGGGGGTGGACCCACCCCACCCCCGTCTGCTCAGGAGTAGGGGGCCGGAGTTTGGACATTCCGGCTGTGGCGTCCTGAAGGTGGGCTGGGTCCCCGGACCCCGGGAGTAGTGGACAATTCCAGTAGTGGACAATTGGAGGGGGCAGGGGCGGGCGCCCCAGAGCGCCTGCCGGCGTCCCCGGCCCTTTCCTGCCTTCCTCGCGCTCATCCGTGTCCAGGACGAATCTCCGCCCTCCCCTCCCCTGCCCTGCCCGGCTGCCGCCGCCCTGTAGCTGAGATCTCAGCCTCTCCACGCAATTTCACGCCTCTCTGCCTTCGCGCCGGCTGTCCCCTCAGCCCAGTGCCCTCCCCCATTGTCCCTGTCTTTCCACAACCTTCTCATTCTTCAAGGCCTGACTCGGATGCCACACTTCCTCCGCGTTTGCCTGAAGCCTGGCTGACGCAGCAGCCTCTCCCGCTGGGTTGGGCCTGCACCTGTGTGTGTGTGTGTGTGTGTATGGGGGGGCCTGGGGTGGTTACCCGGCCTTTGTGGCTTGTCCCCCAAGAAGCTTTACCTCCTGGAGGGCAGAAGCTAGCACAGACTTCCTTGCACCCCACCCCCAGGGCCTGGTACAGGGCTTGGCACCTCTGGGTGTCTGGTAAATATTTGTTGGCTGAATAAAAGGGGTTTTGTCAGGACAGCCCACAGAACACAGAGTCTGGCCACTCCGGGGCAAATAACACGGTGGGCGTGTGCCTGGTGGGTGGAGACCCCTGGGTGGGTCTCCTCCTCCCCTGGGGCTGACCCTCCCCCCCACCCCAAGTCCGGGAGGACTTTGCCCCTTCCTTTCGCCACAGACCGGCATTCTTTCCCTGCCATTATCATCCTGTTAAACAGAGAGGCCAGTCAGGACCCATATGGATCACATTAACAATTGCTTATTATCTGGGTCAAGACTGCCCTCCCCCCACCCCCAGCCCCTAACTGCTACAGAGGCAGGACCCTTAGGAGCCCCTGTGCCGTCCCCTTCCCCGCTAAGGGTCAGCTGGGAGGGCCGTGGACAGTCCCGCACCCTCTCTGTCTTCTAGCACAACTTTGCTTCTGAGCCTTTGGCTGGCCGGCAACGGCTCCTTTACCCGGTTTAATGAAAACCACATTCCGCGCAGGAGCGTGACTCCGAGAGGTTCCTGGGCCCGGGAAGGAGACACAAATCTGACTGGCTAAGAGTTCTGCCCTGGCCTGGAGAGGGGTGGAGAAAGCCAAGAGGCCCGCTGGGCAGCTGCACTCGGGCCCAGCCTGGCACTGGGAAGAAGCCAGAAGTGCAGGACCAGGGGGCCTTGAAGACTGCGGGCTGGAGTTTGAGATGAGCTGTAAGCGGCCCAGGAATGCTAGGGATAGATGCAATTTTTGAGACCACTCATTTTGGGGGCATAAGTACTTTCTGTTTTGGGTTTTCAGACCCCTCAGAGGGAAGGATGAAAGCCACCCCCAGAAAAGTGTATATCCTTCAAGCGACACTGGAACTTGCATGCTGCTTGGAGGGTTCTAGGACTCTTGAAGCCCAGGGGACCTCGCAGCCAGATGCCTACGTGGCAGCCAGCCCCACCAGCCAGCTGGGTGGTGCAGTCAAGGGACTCCCCCTCTTCCCCCCACTCCGTGCTGACTCCATGTTAGTCTGGCCTTCTAGACCAGTGGTCAGGGCCGTTTTGCTTGTCCCCGGGAACCAGGAGTGGCAAGAGAGCAGAGCTCTTCGCAGCATGTGATGGACCATAGCTAACCTTCAGGCAGGACTCGCCCAACTCCAAGCCTCAGCTGTGGACCAGCTCTGTGCATGGTGTCTGTGAGGCAGGACCAGATCTGGGACAGCTGAACTGTCTGGAAGAGTTTGGGGCTTGGGAAGGCTTGGCCAGGCTGTCACGGCTCTGCTGACTCCCCCCAACTGTCCCAGCTCAGGACCCTGGCCTGTCCCCACCAACGGGCAGCCTTGGCTGTTCATCTCTGGTGTGGACGGGGTGGGTTTTCAATGAGAGGCAGAGCTGGGCCGTGTGCAAGGGACCAGTCTCCGTTGGGCAGTTAGTGCCCATTCACCTTTTTTTTTTTTTTTTTTTTTGCTTTTTGCATCATACCCGGCGACGCACAGGGGTTACTCCTGGCTCGTGCACTCAGAAATTACTCCTGGTGCTCGGGGGACCCTATGGGATGCTGGGAATCGAACCCGGGTCACCGCATGCAAGGCAAATGCCCTACCCGCTGTGCTATTGATCCAGAATCCCCCCATCCCCATTCACCTTTTTGCCCACCAGTCATGGACCACCACCTTCACGCCACATTGCAATCACTAATTATGTCGAATCACATTGGATGAGTCACTGTTTGGGCCTCAGTTTCCAAATGGGGGATAAGAATATAAGAACATCCCGGGGCTGAGGTGATAGCACAGTGGGTAGGGCATTTGCCTTGCACGTAGCCGACCCGGGTTCGATTCCCAGCATCCCATAGGGTCCCCCGAGCACCGCCAGGAGTGATTCCTGAGTGCATGAGCCAGGAGTAACCCCTGTGCAATGCCGGGTGTGACCCAAAAAGCAAAAAAAAAGAAAAATATATAAGACTATCCGTCCAGAATCCTGGGGTGATGGGAGGGTGCACTGGCTCTCCTTCAAGCACGCCTGCCTCTCCTGTCCCCTGCCCTGCCCTCCTCGCCCCACAGTCCAGCCTGGTGCTGGGTTCATGCATGTGGATGGACTTGCATTCTCTTTTTCTGTTAGATTTGTGGGTGTGTTAATATGTCCCCCCCTTTTTTCCCCTTTGTGTCAGTGACTGGGGGTTCCTCACGCTTTATCTGTGGTGTTCATACATTCTTGATTCCAGTTGTGGTGCCATCAAGACACTCGGCTTGGCTTCTGGGGCTGTACCGAGGCTTGAACTTGGGGCGTCACACAGGTCCTCTGCGACCGAGTCTTCACTGGGCCCCCAGTGTGCATTTATTTTACTTTTTGTTATTTGGGTCACACACGACAGTGCTCAGAGACTATTCCTGGTTCTTTGCTCTGGGATCACTCCTGGCAGTGCTCAGGGAACCGTATGGGTTGCCAGGGATCAAACCCGCATTGGCAGCATGCCAGGCAAGCACCCTGTTCCTCTGAGTTCTCTGTCCAGCCCCTCCCGTTCCTCCTGCTGCTGACACTGCACCGAGCACCGAGCACCGAGCACCAGCAGTGTGCCGGTACCTCTCGCCCTAGAGTGCCTGCCAGCTTAGGGATTCCTGGGCCTTGGGACCCCCTCACACTCACTGGCTACAGACTTTCCTGGGAATTGGGGGGATTCTCCCAGTTGGGGGTTCAGAGGGCCACTCCCTGAGATGCTTGGATGGGCTGTGCAGTGCCAGGGGACCCTGCAATGGAGCTTGGGGTGCCCACCTGGCAGGAATGCGCTCCAGTCCGGAAGTTCAGCCTGGTGCCTTTTTGGAAGTACAGGTTGGGGGTGGCCCCAGAAAACCGCAGAGTGCCCCTCCCGGGCCAGCCAGCACCTGGGACTGGGGCCTGGCTGATGAGGA